AAAATTTCTCGAAATTTTCATTACGGTACGAGAAGTACCAGTAATTTGCCCTCAGGCACGATGCCATACACCACTAGTTAATTTCTTATTAATATAAAAAAAAAAATGTTAGAGGTAGACAACCCTTATTAAAATATATTTTTGAAGTAAAACGAGTTTTATGAACTTGCCACTACCGCTTTAGAAAGATTAAAATAAAACAAGTTGATTCCAAAATTGTGAAAAAAAATTTGAGCTTGGACAACTTTAATGTTGACAAAATTGTATTTTAAAGTAAGATATAAACTTTTTCTTGAAGCTCAAAAATCTGAACTAAAATTATGTCAAAAATACTGAATGATTGAACGCATGCTAAAAAAAATAATTTAATTGCTAAGATGACTATAAAAATAGGGGTTGGCGATAAAAATTTAAATCACAAATCAATGTAGCCGTGGATATATAGCATTCTTAGTATATAACGATCAAAATATGATAATCCGACTAGCCTTAAAACAATGGTTGATAAAATTTTAAAGAACTGTCAATTTTTTGTACCGGAGTTTCCGATGCTCCTATAAAATAATTATGTATATAAAAGCATAATTTACATATGTATAACAATGTATACAATATATTGATTATAAAATTTCATGATAATAAAAATAACAAAGTGATTGCTTGATTCCCCAAACTCAAATTAAATCCACCCCTCCACCGCTCCTTGTTTTCCCTCAAATCTCTATAACTACCCCAACAGGCCCATTTTATCTGTTTAGCCCTAAATTTGCTTAATACCCTCTGTGCTATTAGTAGTATCGAGTCTTGTGGAATCCCTTAAATGCATCTGTATGCATATAGATAGATGCACAACATATAAACAAGCGAAGGTCTGGGGGGGGGGCTTATATGTCATATGTCGCATAAACGGTGCCATGTTCGTGACATATCATGTTCTGATTAAACACTACACGCGTATTGGATGTGCACTAGTCACTACTCTCGGTTACGACTAGAAAACGGTGGAGAGATTCTAAAACGGGTAGAAATAGATATAACTAGTGGTGTACGGCATCGTGCCTTAAGGCAAATTTCTGGAACTTCCCGTACCGTAATAAAATATTCGAGAAATTTTTTTAAACGTTTTCAAATATATTATTACAAATACTGTAACTTTCATTTTTTGCTATCTAGTTATATCTGAACAAATCAAAATCATGTAAATCATAAATCAAATTATCTCCAGAACATTAACATTCGTCATTTCATTTCGAATTTATTTAAATGGAAAAAAATAGTTGCCTAATTTACACAAAATTGAAAAAGTGCGCCCGTATAGTCACAGTCTAAACGCATTTGCAAATAATTCTGTGCGACATTTTGCTTATACTGTGCTTGGCTTGACGGCATTTTCACATTTTTCAATAGTTTTCAAAAAATGGAAAAGTGCTCCAGTGCAAAGACAGTCTAAACGCACTTGGGTAAACATTTGTACGAGAGAGTGACGCTTAGACTAGGCTTAGTCTGGGTAATTTATTGAATTTTTAATCCAAAATTACAAAAATATTTTATGGAAAATAAAAAAAAACGTTTTAATAATTTTTTATCTTCAAAAGCAATGTTTTGTCAATACAAGCAGAAAGTTTTCAAATCATTCAAATCGGACGCTTAGTTCTCTCAAAAACTGCCATTTTTTGCACATTTAGCTCTCTAATTCCGAAATGGCTGGCCTGCCTTTGTCAAAAACTCATCACCTCTTCTCCCAATAATTACAAATTGAATGCTTTTTAGATCATTCAAATCCGAAACTCTGTTCCTCAAAAACTCGGTTTGTATTTCTGCACTCTTTGCTCCGTATCTCCGTAACGTCTGGATCTGCCTTAGCCAAAAACTAATCACCTTTCTCCCAATCATTACAAATTGAATGTTTTTAGATCACGGTGGAGAGATTCTACAACTGCAGATATAAATTTAAAACCATTTTAAAACATTTAAATTTGAACATAAATATTAAATTCTCCAAAAAAATTGAAAATATTTTTTTTTGCATATCTTTACGTTTCAAACGATTCTGAACATTTTGGCACACCTTACTAGGAAAATATGTGTGTGTATATGGATACAATTTTGCGTCGACGATTTCGGGAGCCAGGATTAACCGATTTGAATGATTCAAGAGACAATCGACTCAAATTAATACATAGACGTACTGGTTAGTTTTTAGGATAAGCAGGTCCAGCCGTTTCGGAGACATGAAGCAAACTAAAGTAGGGGGCGCTAGGCATCGTTCCTTAAGGCAAATTGCTGGAACTTCCAGTACATAATTTTTTTTTTTTAAAAATTAACATTTTTGAAAAAAATTTACCCTGGAAAAAATAGATTTTGAGAAACTATAGATTTTTGACAAAAATTTACTTTTTTGAAAAAAAGACTTTATGAAAAAAAGTGTATTTTGAAATATTTTGGAAATTCTGAACTTATTTTTAAAGCAATCGTACTGCTTTAGCTGCATAGAGACGAAATGTCAAAGCGCGTAAGCGCCGCGTCGCCGTCTAACGGATAAACATTGGTACGGAATCCATAGGAATGCAAACAAAATTTATACTTATCGTTGAAATCTTTATAAAATATCTGATAATTTGATGTGCATTTGTCTAATGATCAATTTGACACCCAAATGGCTCATTTTTTAACTTTTTCCCTCATATCTCCGAAACCGCTAGACCTGCCTTTATGATAATTGATCAGTTCTTCATCTTTTTAATACAAGTAAAATGTTCTTTGAATCATTAAAATCGGACGCTCCGTTCTCTTAAAAACTGAGTTACCGTTTTCGGCACTTTTACCCCGTATCTTCGGAACGGCTAGACCTGCCTTCACCAAAAAACTAATCGTTATTTAAATCGGTTGATCGGTGTTCCGAAAGCGTCGACGAAAATTAGTATCCGCAAATACATACACATACACACACGCACACACACATACACACACACACATACATCCATTTTTTCTAAGGTATGCCAAAATGTTCAGAAACCTTTGAAACGTAAAGATATATAAAAATTTTCATTTCGATTTTTTGCGATTACTATAACTTGCCCTACGGGAAATTAAAAATAGTATAATCAAAAGAAATGATACACTATGTGTGTATAAGTATATATGTGTCTAAAGTGTATATGTAATGCTCATATATAGCATTTTTTCTTTGTTTTTGGATGTTATGTGTACGTCCTGAAAAAAAATTATTCAAGAAATAAAATTTGTAAATATAAATATTATACGAATTCCAAAACTACGGTTTTATCTCAGTACGTATATGTTTAGTATGTAAAGAATTTTTTGATAGTTCATTAAAAATTTATCAATTTTTGTTGATTATTGATTTTTAGTCCTCAATATTGAAAAACGGTACGAAAAGTTTCAGCAACTTGTATTAAGTTTGTCTTCTTACAACTACGAATTCTTCTATAACTACAGTTGAGAACCTCTGGCATCCGATATAAACTCTACTAACAGGAATAGAGACCCGTCTATGAGAGGCTTATATTTGCAATCTACAATACAAATTGCAAATTGTGCAACATGCGACGCTTTCAATTAAATCATATAACGGTATAGGATTACCAATGAACCAACCAACTAACCAACCAACCAACCTACCAACCCACTAACAACCGAGCAAAGGATATTCAGTATGACGTATGTGCCAATGCGTAGATTCGAATTATATAATATGTAACAGGACACGTTTTCCATATTTCGGAAAAATTAATTGAAAAGTTACGAAACGAACGGATGAAACGCCATGGATTTATTTTGTACAGGATAAACGGTGGAGTAAAGGATAAACGGTGGAGCAAAGTTGATTGGTATATTTTTATGAATAACAACTATGTGCACTAAGCCTAACGGCAGGTCTCATGCAAAACCTTCTAAAAATACTAAATTAATTATTCACCTATTATTTTTTTATTTAATTTTAATTTATTCCAAGTTTCCTTTTAGCAATCTGCTTAAAGTTAATCCATTGTTCTGTACGTGTTTTGTTTTTAACTCCGGCAACTTTCTTGCATTTTTTTCCCTCTGAGGTGTCATGTCTTTTGAGTCTGTAATTAATTTCAACACTTTAAGAATTCCTAACATCTTGCTAGTTCTATAGATAGAGAGCTGGTCGTAAAATAAGTAACAACTAGAATTTAAAAAACAAACTATTGCAGAAACTTTTTGATTCGTGTGAATTTACTTTAATTTATAACATACAGCCCTAAATTTTCACACTCCTTTTACAAACCCCTATTTAAAATGTTACTTTAGCAATCTAATTAGTTTTCATTCAGCTTTTAGTCAGTGAATGTTTTTTTTTCAATTTTCATCTTTAGTTTGGCAAAATGAAAATTATTTTTAATAAGGGTAGACCACATTTAGCACTTTTTTTATTACAATTTTTGAAAAATACATACAAACTTAAATGTTCACCGTGTTTCTTTTAAAAATATTTTTTTTCATTAAGGGTTGTACATTTCTATATCTATTTTTAAAAGTGCTGGTCCAAATTTTTTTACTTTATTTTATGATAATCCGAAAAAAAAACTACATGTAACTCTGAATTTTTATCCCTTCATAAATACCACTAAATCATTCATTTTTAAACTACCCTAAATTTCACTCTCCGACCATATTTTTCATAAATTCATTCATTTTTATATAAAATTATAATGTAAATATATACATAAATTTGAATTTTTATAAAAAAAGAGGTTTGAAAAGTAAAAAGTGACTTATAAACAAGAAAATGCTTATCAAAATGCTTTTTACTATCTAATTGATAAGAATTAGGATTTAGCGTTGAAAAAAAATGAAGCCCTATGAGTAATACTGTTTTTATCCATTTGAATGAAGAGACGCTATAGACTCTTATTTAGTTGGTGATTCAAGTTATTTTAACAAAATGATTTTTGAAACATTGTTTAGTATTACTTGAAATTCACAAAACAAAGAGGTATCATTTCTTTTGTTTATACTGTTTTTGTTCATTTAAATGAAGCATGATTCGGCAAAGCGTCTCTGACACTATCGACTCTTATTTACTGAATCAAGTTATTTTAACAAAATGATTTTTTGAAATATTTTAAAATTACTTGAAATTTTTACAAAACAAAGAGGTATCATTTCTTTTGTTAATACTTGTTGTTGTCTATTTGAATGATGCGTGATTCAGCAAAACGTCTCTAAAACGCTATAAACTCCTATTTAGTGAATCAAGTTATTTCAACACAATGATTTTTGAAACATTGTTTATATTACATAAAAAATTTTACAAAGCAAAGAGGTGTCATTTCTTTTGTTTATACTGTTTTTGTCCATTTGAATGAAGCATGTTTCAGCAAAGCGTCTCTAAGACGAACTTTTATTTAGTAAATCAAGTTATTTCAACGAAATATTTTTTGAAATATTTTAATATTATATTATTATTTTTACTATGTGGGATTCTTTAATCTTAATTAATAATGTTTTTGCTTTATTATATATTTGAAATAAGATTTTTGTCGATTTTTTTAAGTCAATTTATTCAAAATGTTTAATAATTATTTAGAATATTGATTTGGGTGTTCCGCAGAGATCGATTTCAGGCCCACTTCTTTTCTCATGTAAATATATTAAAATATACATATAAATATTTTTTAGTTTTTATTTCAATGAATTATTTTTTAAATGTAACTAAATTAACGTCAACTTTGCAATTATTTCACGATATTAGTAATTCCATCGCTGCAAAAGTGATATTCTACAAAATAAATAAATTTCTATATATAATTAGGTTTGTTTTAGTATATATGTGTGTATGTATATATATATATATATATATATATACATACAAACTAAGTTCATTTACAGCGTTTATTAATTAATTATAATTAATTATACATCTTCCACCCCCAATGAGAGTATTTTTCTCAATTAACATATTTTTACGAGTCACGTAAACATCTTCTTCGCCTATTCACATTTTTTTTCTTTTCTGTTTCTTACTGTGAATAATAAATTATTTTGCCTTTAACGGAGTATAATGCCTCGTGTCATAGGTGAGGTGATTTATTACATGCTGAATAAGTCATAGTATGAGAGCTGGTGGGACCAGTTGATGGACGATAAATATTTTTAACATTTGTACTTGAAATAATATTGTTAGATAAGTCTTCTTTGTATACAAACGTGCAAATTTTTCGAAAAGAGATTTTCAAAAAATTTTAAACTTTTTTTAAACATTTCCAAGGTTTTCAAAAACATTTAAAAAAATTAAATAATTTATAAGGATTTCAAAAAAAATTCTAAGATTTTAGTTTCAGAATTAGTTTGCAAGTTGTTTATGTAAGTTTTTCCAAAAGTTTCTAAGCTACCCAGGAAGCTTGTAAGTTTTCCTTAAAGTTTCTAAGCTTGTCAGAGAGTTTTTAAGCCTCTAAGAAAAAAACTCAAGCACTACGCAAAGCTTTCAAGCCCTCCAGAAAGTTTTCAATCTCTCCAGAAAGTTTTCAATCCCTCCATAAAGTTTTCAATCCTTCCAGAAAGTTTTCAAGCCCTCCAGAACGTTTTCAAGCCCTCCAGAACGTTTTCAATCCCTCCAGAACGTTTTCAATCCCTCCAGAACGTTTTCAAGCCCTCCAGAACGTTTTCAAGCCCTCCAAAACGTTTTCAAGCCCTCCAGAAAGTTACCAAGCCCTCCAGAACGTTTTCAAGCCCTCCAGAACGTTTTCAAGCCCTCTCCAGAACGTTTTCAAGCCCTCTCCAGAACGTTTTCAAGCCCTCTCCAGAACGTTTTCAAGCCCTTTCCAGAACGTTTTCAAGCCCTCCAGCAAATTTTCAAGCCCCCCAGCAAATTTTCAAGCGCTCCAGAATGTTTTCAAGCCCTCTCCAGAACGATTTCAAGCCCTCTCCAGAACGATTTCAAGCCCTCCAGAACGATTCCAAGCCCTCTTCAGAACGATTTCAAGCCCTCCAGAACGATTCCAAGCCCTCTTCAGAACGATTCCAAGCCCTCTTCAGAACGGTTTCAAGCCCTCTCCAAAACGTTTTCAAGCCCTCTCCAGAACGTTTTCAAGCCCTCTCCAGAACGTTTTCAAGCCACCCAGAAAGTTTTCAAGCCCTCCAGCAAATTTTCAAGCCCTCCAGAAAGCTTTAAAGCCCTCCAGAAAGTTTTCAGTCGCTCAAGAAAGTTTTCAAGCACTCGAGAAAGTTAGAAATTTCTCTAAAAAACTAAAAATTCTCAAAACAATCTTTTTTTTCCATTGCAAACTTTTATAAACATCCAATTAATTTCACGGAAATTATGTTTAATAGCCTTGCACTCTTAGTTTGTTTCTTAATTCTAATGATTCTTATTATTTTACCACCAGCTCTCTGTCTATAAAACTAGCAAGATGTTAGGAATTCTTAAAGTGTTAAAATTAATTACAGACTCAAAAGACATGACACCTCAAAGGGAAAAAAATGCAAGAAAGTTGCCGGAGTTAAAAACAAAACACGTTTGAAACAATGGATTAACTTTAAGCAGATTGTTAAGAGGAAACTGAAAATGAAATAGATCGAAAAAATATTTTAATAAAATATAAAAATGAATTTTATAATTTTTAGCTTACTGCATCATCGAAGATTCTGTTATCATACCATTAATTTCATTTTTGTTTATATGTAAAATGCGCCTGATCGCACCGCAAATAACATTTTTATAATTTTCACTAGTATAATATAACGTTGTCATGACAACGCTATTTTATAAGGTCAGTTATGGCAGAATTGGCCCATATTTTTTTTTTTTTTTGAATTTTGTAGAAGTGATGCATTGCAACTGTTATCAGTTATTTATATAATTATCTAAAATAAATAAATTACCTGCGACATCTAATAAAGTTGCATTTGAAGAACAGCTGACAAAATGTGGGTAGAATGCAACCATAACAATTCCACCATTTTCAGCCTAAAAATAATAAAAAAATTGTTTTAATCATTTATATTTTTTTAACTATGTTACGGATCTATCCTCGTATGAGTTAGTAGTAAAAAACTGTCTTAAAACTATGTATTTGCAGTGCCATCAGGCGTTTTTTTACATAAAATCTAACCTATAAAACGCACAAACGTAAAAGCATAGTCCTAGTTATATTTTTATAACGTAGGTTTTATATAAAAATAATATTTATTTCACTTTAATACAGTTATTTCATTATATTATAATACTTTATTATTATCAAATTATACAATTGTATGATATGTGATTGAATATTAATTAAAGAATCCGAAATGAAAATCAGAGCACGACCTATATATAGGGTTACATATTTAATCTAGTACGCTTTGATTATAATACATATTGATTGAATGGTAAATGGATATCTTATTGATATATATATAATTGGAAGTTATGATTATAAAATATGCTGATTGAATAAGTAAATGTATTAATTAATTATTAATATATATAACTTCCTGATGTCTTTTTAATAACACATACGTGAAGTTAGGTTTTGTGTATAAAATTTCTTATCGCACAGCAAGGACGTAGTTTTTTGACAATTTTGACTATCAACTCATACGAAGATAGACCCCAAAAATAGCATTACCATGAAATTTCAATTTTACTAAACAATATTTAAATGGCTTATCATTATCCTTACCAGTTTTTTGAGAATGTAGTCAGGGACATTCCTAGAGTTGTTACACAATTGATGGGCTGAAGAGTGCGAAAAAATAACAGGGGCTTCCGTTTGTCTCAAAGTTGCCAACATAACACGTTGGGACACGTGAGACAGGTCCACCAACATGCCCAGACGATTCATTTCTCTTATAACAGCCTGAAAAAAAGAAATTGATTCATCATAATACATTTTATATAAGAAGGAAATGGAAGGAATTCAAGTCACAAAAAAGAAAACACAAGACAAAACATTGAGAAGTGAAATATGTACCAAATTCTTGGGAATATTCCCAACACATGTCCTTCACCCATTATCCTGCCCTATTGAATATTCCGCCGGTTATCAAACTTAACTAGTTACGGTGGAGAGACCATCAGACCATCAGACACTTGACTCGACTTCTCTCCACCAGAATCGACTCTAGTTCGCCGACTTATCGTGGAGTTTGTGCAGCAAGCAACATTTGCAAGTTAACACAATTTGCTCAGCAAACACTGTGAGCAATTTCTATTGTGTTTCACTAACAAAGATATTGTTAAATGTGCACGACGACGCGCAAACTTTATGCACTTATCTATGCACGAGACGGTGGAGCGGTGGAGCGATGGTGCATCTATTTGGATGACACGATGACGGTGGAGAACATTTCGACTACAGGATAATAGAAAAATGGGACATGATGTTGGTAAAAATTATATTAAAATATATATAAATATTAGGGAAATGGGTTCTTGAGTATATTTGTGTTACACCACAAAATACAGAACAAGTTAAACCACTCAACTTGCTTTCGTTTTGTTGATACTCCGTTTGGACTTGACGTTGAGTTTTAGGATACCCTGTACCTATATATATATATATATATATATATATATATATATATAAATATATATATATATATATATATATATATATTATATGAATGTATGATTCATTTATGTATGATATGCGTGTATGGTTATAGCAGATTTAATTGAAGCCTTTTGATGTGAAATATGTCGGAAAATTGTATTTTCGGCGTGTTGCGAATATTTTGAAACACGCGAATGTACAGAGGCAGAGTCGTATTTATCAATAATAATGATAATAATTTTATGTCTACCCTGTACCACTATTTTATATTTTAACAAATGTTATTTCATGTAAATCTTACTAAGTTTACGACTTTTCATTATAATTCAGCATTTTTCATTTTAGTTTTGTCAGTTCATATTTTTTTAAGAATTCATTACCTATTTTATTTGAAAATTATATTAATAATCATTATTATTTATTATTATATTATTTTTTTAAATAATTCTTAATTACAGTATATTAGCTATTATTTGCTGATTATCTACCTGCCTACCTGTCTACTTGTTTACCTATTTAACTGACTATCTGACTATTTTTTTACCTGTTTACCTGATTACTTTTTTATCTATTTATCTTTTCACCTCTCAACTTGTATAGAAATTTTTATATATTTTTATATATTTAACCTTCTACCTTTATATTTGTCGATTTTTCTACCTGTCTATCTTTTTTGTCAGTTAACTTGTCCACCGATTTATTTTTGTAGTTTTCATCCGTCTACGTGGTTTTTGCTCGATCTAAATTCAAAATTGACTACCTGTCTGCTCGTTTATTTTTTTACCTGTCTATGATAGTACCAATCTACCTAACTGCCTATCTTTTATCTATATGTAATTACCTACATATTTACCTGTCTTCCTTTATACCTGTCAACCTATCTGTATGTTTTTCTTTGTGTACATCTGATTAACCAGTCTTTTTATTTACCAGTCTACCAGTTTGTCAACCTGTCTATCATTTTACTACATAGCAGACTATTTTTCTATATTTTTATTTGTTAACCTGATTGCCAATCTATCTGCTTAGGTGTACACCTCTATACCTTCTTACTCGCCTAACTGTTTGCCTGTAAACTTGTCTAATTTCTCAATCTGTTTAATTTATCATCCTGTCTAATTTGCCAATTTGGCTTATTTGTCAACGTAGTTAATTTGTAAACCTAGTTAATTTGTAAACCTAGCTAATTTGTGAACCTAGCTAATTTGTAAACTTGTCTAATTTGTCAAGATATCCAAAATGTTAAACTGTCTAAGTGGTTAACTTGTTCAAATTTTTAACTTGTCTAATTTGTTAATCAGTCCAAATCAACCAGTATAAATGGTCAATTTGTTTAAATTGTCAACCTGTCCAAATTGTCACCTTGTCTAAATTGGCAACCTGTCGAAATTGTCAAGCCACCCAAAATGTCAACCTGTCTAAATTTTGAACCTGTCAAAATTCTCAACCTGTCGAAATTCTCAACCTGTCGAAATTCTCAACCTGTCAAAATTCTCAACCTGTCCGAATTGTCAAATTGTTTAATCTATTAATCTGTTCACATAGACAACTTGTCCAAAATGTCAACCTGTCTAAATTTTGCACCTGTCTAAATTTTGAACCTGTCTAAATCTTGAACCTGTCTAAATTTTGAACCTGTCTAAATTTTGAACCTGTCTAAATTTTGAACATGTGTAAATTTTGAATCTGTCTAAATTTTGCATCTATCTAAATTTTGAACCTGTCTAATTTGTTAACCTGTCTAATTTGTTAATCTGTCTTAATTTTGAACCTGTCTCAAATTTAAATATGTCTAAAATTTGAACCTGTGAGAATTTTGAATCTGTCTAAAATTTGAATCTGTGTGAATTTTGAATCTGTCTAAATTTCGAATTTTTTGAATTTAAATTTTGAACCTGTCTAATTTGTCATCCTGTCTACCTGCCAACCGCTCTAACTATGCACCTGTCTATATGTTTAATTATTAACCAATCTGTATGTCTTTGTGTACATTAATAGATATTTATTTGTCTACCTCTACGCCTATATATCTACCAATTTATATTTTAATTACATTTTTCTGTCTACCTGTATACCTGTATACTTGTATGTCTGTATTTCTCTCTCCTTGTCTACCTGTCAACAAATTATTCGATTTGTATTTAAATCCATAATAATTATTTGTAATGATCATTTTTTATCACCTAATATCAATTTGATAAATTTTATTGCTGCAACTGCAAAACTTGCAGACCTGCCTCCTCAAAAATGAAGTCAAATTTTTATTCAGTCACTACAAGTAAAATATTGTTTTGAGACATTCGAGTCGATGTTCCGTTTTCTCAAACTGTGGCACTTTTTGTTCTGCATCTCACAAACAGGTAGACCTGCCTTTATTAAAAAACGAATCAGAACACTTACCCATCAATATAAATCAATTTATTTCTAATTCTAATGAATTATTCTAATCGGTTAATGCGTGCGCCCGAAATCATCGACGAAACATTGTATTTCATTATTTACTCATAATAAGTTTACTCATGATTTTTTATATAAGCTTACTCACGATTTTTGTTATAATTTTATTATTACCAATCCACCCCTGTTTCCCATTCCACCAAACTCGCATATTTCACGTGCACTGACGATACACGAGCATATCACGGTCGTTTGTTTAGGGGCCTCACATCGGGAATTCCCCTAATTTCTGAACATTTTGTATCGTCGGTTCTCTTCAGTACTACAGATGATACATATATATATATATTATGCATTATTATTAAACGAGAGACTGTGGTACGACCTACAACAATGATGATACGATATGATTCAAGGCCCTTATTATAACCCTTATTATACAATATATTATATTATAAGCACATTTGTATTGCGATTGTAATATATTTATTATCTTTATGTATGCGGTGGAGAGATTTGTTACGCACGGTGGAGAGATGTAATTATGAGCGAAATTTGTATTTAAGGTAATTGAAATGTATTTAGACTTATTTTTGGATGAAATTGCTGTCTTACAATATTATTTGTCTGTAAAGTAAGAAGAAGCATTGATTTTTTTATCTATTTAATTATAACATGGATGTATTCTTCATAATTGAAAGTACATTTATCCCTGATTGAGATAAATGAAATCGTTCCCATATATGCGAATATAATGTGTTCTTCCATTCTATATTAAATGTAAAATTACATTATCTTCGAAGCCGATCTTAAATTTATATTTCATTTTGCAAAAGATAATTCTGCTCGTTGAGCAAGAGAACCTCACTTCATATGTGAAAAGAGCAGTGATGGCCAAACTAATATATTTCGGACAAATATTAAAAACACAAAAGTGTTAAACGCATTTTACTTACGCATAATTTAAAAAATATCACTATTTAGATCAAAATTGTCAAAATTTCATATAAATTGTTACTCTTATCTATCAAAATCAATGGAGGCTTATACATCAAATGGTTTTGACAGATGATGCTCAATTACATTTAACAGTATAGATAAGAATAACCATTTATATAAATTTTGATCTAAGTTATGCGTAAGTAAAATGCGTTAATGTATAATTTATAATTATATATTGATTTATACACTACTAGGCATTTATATATGGGGTCAGTGTATTTGAAAAATGGATATATACATTTTTATATCGATTTACAAATGCTTTGACATTTATATATAGGGTCAGTATATTAGAAAAATGAATATATACATTTATAAATTGATTTATACACGATTTGGCATTTATATACTCAACCAGTATATTAAAAAAAATGATAAATACATTTATATATTGATTTGAAATATTTGAAAACATACAAACATACATTCTTATCTATCAAAATCAATGGCGGCTCATACGTCAAATGTCAAATGGTTTTGACAGATGATGCTCAATTACATTTAATAGTATGTTTTAGAAAACATACTATTTTGTTATGTATGTTAAGGCTCTAAAACGGCTGAACGGATTTGACCACATTTTGTCTTGAAAAAATCGTGATAATCCAGAAAATGTGGGAAAGGTGAAATATTGTTTCGAAAGCGCATAGAAACTTTGCCTTTGAAAAAGAAAATTGGGAATTTTTGTAGGAGCGTAATTTAAATGAAACAGTAGACAACGGCTCATACGTCAAATGTCAAATGTCAAATGTTTTAGACAGATAATGTTCAATTACATTTAATAGTATTATAGTGTATATTATAGAAACAATGGACGGCAGCTCATACGTCAAATGTTAAATGTTTCTGATAAATGATGTTCAATTACATTTATTAGTATTATAGTATAT